CAGTCAGAAAGCACTGACCCTCTTTTACATATCACTTAGAGCAGGGGCCAGGACATTTTTTTATGCACACTTGAGGGGTGTTCTCTGACTGAGGGACGTTCCTGCAAGAGCCCAGCAGGACAGAAATGGCTGGACATCATCCCTCTGCCAAGCCGGGCTGGAAGGCAAAGACTTTCCACCTCTGCAGAATCACTCTCTCCCTTGGGATATTTAGGTCTTAAAAAGGCAACAATAAATATCTGACTGCTAAAAAGTTGAGTTTAGATGGGGGGAGAGAAACGTTCTCCTTCTCTGCTTCATTACCTATCTCCTCGTCTCGGCATCAGGGCTGCAGGCAAGCTCTCCTGTGAGGATTTACCGTGTGCGGTGGCCACTCGGAGTCGGAGGTACTGAAGTCTTTAACATTCCCCAGTCAAGTGTCTCCCTGCTGCGCCTGTAAATGTCAGTCCAGTTTTTTCACGGCTGTGCGCACAGATTAGAAACAGCAGGAAGCTCAGAGTATGACTACAATGCCAGTGAGGACACTCCTCTGCATGGCTCAGCTCAAGTGATTCTTGGAATGCAGGCCCTGCTGTTTTCTAATATTTACACACAACTGGAGTCATCAAGAGCAGTAAATGCAGTCTAAGGCTTGCCTCTTTTGTTCGGGACTTTACATTCAAATAGGGGTATCAACAATAACACCAAAAAAAAAAAGGAAAAAAATCCCCACCATTTGAAAAGTTTTGTGCCCACCCACCCCCCACCACCCTCTTAGCAGAGACCGAGCAGGTATCACCGGGCTGCTCACTTAGCTGAACACTTCAAGATCCTCTCCGTGCACCCCTCAGCCCCAAAACAGCAGGTGTTGTGCATTCTTGACCTGGGTCTTCACTGCCACGGTTCCTCGGCCCTGAGCAGGGACAGACAGGGCCCAGAAAGCCGCTTCAGAGCCACTGCAGCCGCCTTGGCATGAACGCTGTGACACAGCTGGGCTCACCAGGGGCTGCAGTGTCAGGCAGGCAGCCAGCTCCTCTTTCAAGACCCCAGTGGGGGGTGGGGGGCCCCACTGTCACTGTATGTGTATCTTAAGAAACGTCTAAATGAGCTGTCTTTACATGAAAATGGCAGGGTGAGCCATTTATTTTGGTCATAAGCTTTAAAATAACTGCCAGGGAGCTCTGGAATGGAAACTCCAGGGTGCTGAGAGGAGAGCTGCTCTGCGGGCAAGATTCACCCCTCAGCCCCTACTGCTGCTGCTGGGGTGCGCACCAGACCCCACGGCACAGCACTCAGGCCTCAGCCACACACTACAGGAACGCCTTTTGGGTTCGGATTCACATGGGGTGAAGGGGAGGGAGATACGAAAATGCCCAGCATATGAGTCTGCTTAAAGATCTTGAAGATTTTCTCCAGCTAGAAAAGTCCAAAGGTAACTGTTAGTCCTCTCAGCCGCCCCTGGAAGCACCAGGCCGAGGAGCGCGCCCTGCCTGGAGGGGCCCGGGGCTCAGGTGGCACCCACCAGGGCCTGCTTGGCTCCGTCAGCTGGGACATGCTGGGCCTCCCTGAGGGGCTGGCCAAGGACGTGCGCTGGGCCGTGTCACTTGCTTCTAAGACACCAGAGGAAACCTGCTGAAAATTGTTGTCATCCTCCTCCCCGCTCCCAACTGTGGGTTCGCACCTTTAATACCCCTTACTGCTCCCGCACTCCAGGCGGATTATCCTTTAGGGCACCTCACTCAGTCGCCACCATCAGACTTCTAGCAAAGGGTGACCAATTACATCCAAGAGGCAAGAGCTTTCTGAAGATCTGCAGTGGGTCAAAAGGAAAGTGAAACTGGCTCAAGGAGGAAACCTTACAGGTAACTTCACGATGAGCCAACCAACAATTCTCGATGACTCCTTGGAGGCCGCGAGATGCTCGGCCGCAACAGGGGTGCACCCCACAGTGAAGAAGCAGGGCGTCACCTGCTGAACAATCACCCAGGTGAGAGCTGCCACTTCAGTCTCGAACGTACGAGGTGGTGATTCTCTAAACTCGCCTGTAGTGGCTTGTACTCTTCATGCCAGCAGAGCTGAGAGGGGTAACCACCTGCGGAACCTACAAAACCCCACAAAGCTCTAGCTACGCAGCAGCTGCAACTGGGGGAAATCTCCTGGGTATTATCAACAGAACCCAAGGAAGGATGAGGGTTGGATTCTTGACACCGTGAGAGCGTGAATTTTTTTTCATTTTGATTTCTGTTCGTGTGCTCTGGACAGTAAGCAGGAATTAGTAAGTAGAACGGCGCGGGCCGCCAGCAGCCCAGAAGCAGACCGTGAGAACTCAGTGCGGCAGGAAGCGGGCGCCGCAGACCAGGAGGGGAGGGCACCGGCGGGCTGGGAAAGCACTGGCAACGGAACAGTGGGCTCCGGAAAGCCCACTGGGTGCCGACCTCACTGCAAACACACCGCAAACTAGAGGCCCTGTCACAGGAAGTCTAGAAAAGGCCAAGGAAACCATGCCTGGTTTCAGGATAGAAAATGTTTTTAAACAGTGGGGAAAATTACAATGAAAAAGGTTTAGTCAGACTTCTGTTTTCAATTTATCAACAACAGTAAATCAGCAACAAACGGGTTATTTTCCAACAGGTTACGAGGTTTACTAAACAAAGAGCACAAATACACCAAAGAGAAAACAGAATGTTTACAAGTAAAAATAATCGCTCGGGTTCATTAGCAAATAAAAAGTGACCTTTTCAGAAGGCACAAATGATATAAAAATAGACTATTATAATAAAATAAAAATAATTTTAAAAAGCGATCTTTTCAGGCCGCAGAAGCCAGGATACGTCAGCAAGGCAGATTCCTGCTGGCCCCGCACGGATGGGCCTTTGCACAGAGATGTGGTGAAGCCGCTACCTCCCGCTTCGCTTCGTCGCGACCCGGTAGCTTCTTTATGAAAACATGTTACTCTGTGCCCTGGGCAAAGACGCCTGCCCACAACACCAGGCACGCGCTGGTCCTGCCCCGGGCTGGGAAAACACGTGGGCACAGAGACCATTTTCAGCGAAGTGCCTCTAACAGAGACAGTGGTCAGGTCGTAAGAGGCAGGATGCAGTGGGAGACGCAGGAAGGGAACTGAAGATTAAACTACAAAGAAAAGCCCAGTGCCTGTCAGCTGAGGTCACCAGGGGTTCGTGAAGGCAGCTCGGCCACGGTGTGTTTGCCCGTTCCTGTATGTTCTAAATGCCCTACAATCTCCATGAAGTCTGCATCCTCTGAGTCTGAGCACTGAGTGCTGAGTGGGGCCTCGGAGAACAAGCAAACGCATGACAGACACAGATGGGCACATCACTCATGTTCCCGCCCTGAAGGCTGAATTGCCACTCGGTGTTTAGCTGCACCCTGAATTAGAGACCTAAGGAAACCACCTGGGTGTGGCTGGCCTGGCCTGGCCTCCAAGCATCTTGCCTCTCTTCCGAGACCCTGCTGAAGAGCGCCCGGGAGCTTTCACTTCAGGGCTTAGCCTGTTAGGAGACTTGCCAGCAGTCTGGGAAATTCAGAGTGTGGGCGGCTCCTGTGATGAGGTGGTCAGGACCTGGCCCAGGTCGAAGCCCCACACACAGATGCCTGTGCCCGCTCAGGCCCCGAGAAACAGCAGTGAAGGCAGGCGAGGGGGTGGCAGGGAGTGCGCATGAGAACACGGGAGCTGAGGATGACAGGAGAATCCAGGAAGAACAGAAAAGGGAAAAGGGTAAAACAAAGCTCCAAGAGCCAAGAAGGTGACTTAGGCCTTTTTTCCTCCTTAAATAAAAGGGGTAAGATGATCAGCAAAGGCAGAACTAAGGCAAGGCGTGCGGGCGGAGCCTGAGGACGGCCAGGCTCTCCGGCCACTGGCTTTCCATTTCCACAGGCCTGCCAGTGGAATAACATCCGAGAAAATGCCAGCACTTGTTACAGACAATATGTGAAGAAATATTTGTTTTCTTAATATTTAACCAACAGGTTTTGCTATGTTTTTGTATTTTGAAAAATAAAAAAGGCTAAGGCATATACACAAAACACACCACACACATTTTGTCCTATTTTAAGCATCAATGTGTTTGAAACAGAACTCGAGAGTTGATGTAGGTGTTACAAACAAACTTGGGGCCGTCACACTGAGCACTAAAATACAACTCCACACAGGAGACAGTAGGCATCCCCCCGAAGTTCGGTCCCCAACTCAGGAATCCAGGGCTTCAGAAGGCACTGGAGAGACGGCCCAGCGAGGTGGCCTGCAGATGCTCTGCATTTTCAACATCTGATACATTCAGACACAACAGCTTCCGTGAGAACTGAACACCCGATCACAGCAAGGTCTGCAGTCTTTGTGCTGACTCAGAGTTTCGCAAACTTGGTGCAAGCTTCTTCCCCCAACTCCCTCCTTTCAGCACTGAAATGCCTCGTTAGGGGTCTCCTGTGCAGGAGCAAAACCAGTTAAATGTGCAACTTATATTCTGGATACTTTTAAAACAAATGCTGCCATAGACAAGACATGTCTCCACTCTCTAAAAGTACCCCTACACTAGCAGGCTAAGGTGTAGCTCCCTTTGAATCCCAAAGGAATCCTGAAATTGTTCGTAAATATTTCAATTCCAAGCTTTGATTCCCACGGCAACTAAAAAAAAGTCCACATCTTAAAACTTTTAATCCTTAACATCCTAAGTGTTTGGTTTACTATCCAAATATTGTATAATACAAAAAAAGAAATCTGTAAGAAAAATAACCTATGAACAAATGAGAAGCTGTATCTACACAGCTAGTTCCCAGGACCTTCCTACAGGGAGGTCAATCTTAAAATCTTCGCTCTGCCATCCTTGGTTAATTCCCCACCTTCCTTACCACTCAGCCAGCACCATGACGTGGCGCATGTGCAATGTACTGCCAACGTGTATTTATCTCTCACAGATACGCTTCCTGCTCCCTGCATAATCCTTTCTTCCTTGTACTCTCATTTCATACAGCAGGTGTCTAAAAATGCTTGTTACTGAACCAAATACTCACAAACCAAACTTTAGAGCAATAACATACACGTGCTTATATCAAGCAAAAAGACTTTATTTTCAGCATTGTGTACTCTTGAAAGTTGGGCCTGGTCACACACCCTCCTCCACGCTTGGAACACACAGCTATGGAAAGTGCCCAGCAGAACTTCTCATGTACTCCAGAGCTTCAAACACATACAGTGCAGGGGTGGGGGTGGGGGTGGGGTTAAAAACTAAATCAATCGAGATTTGGGGATTTTTATAAATTAGCTTTTAAATTGTACAAAGTATTTATTTTAATAAAAAAAAGTTCAGTTTTCAAAGACACAGGTACTTCATTTTTATCCCTACCCCACAAGACTCACATGAATATAAGACAATTAAAATAGAAAAAGTCAAGTGAAAGAAAAGAAAGAAGCTGGTTCACACTGCATTACTTCTGGACTCTCTTTCTGGTTTTTGAACCTTGAAGAGAAAACAAAGAAATCAGAATCATTAATCATTAAATTACAAAAGCAAAACACAAATGTATTTCCATATACAGTCACTGTTAATTAAAAATCTAATAGACTATGATGATTTGTGGAAATGAAAAGGTGTAACTGTTAATAACCTGAAAATCTAAGAAATTATGTTAATTTTTTAATATGCCAAAAATACACCAACAAAGTCTACCTTCTTATCGTAAGTTTTATCTTTCACCCGTAAAACACATCCAATTTACACTTGCACTGAAACATTTTTCACAAAACATTTTACTGTATGATTTAGAGCATTAACTCCTAATGTAAACACAAGATAAGCGTTTGATCCTGGGGGGAGCCAAGGTAGTTGTGCGTGTTATGAAATGCAAGGAATTTCATTCGAAATGTGTTGCTTTCTAAAGCCTGTTACCGGTACTCTGGGTAGGAGAACAGTAGGCTATTCCAAAACACAAAATCTTTGCACAGGCAGTTAAGCCTTTCAGATAGGCTTCCCGCCAGTGCTGAGCTGGTGCCTAGGGCAGTTCCCTCAAGGATTCTGGGCTCAATGGAATATCGCAGGGACTCTGCAGGGAAACCTGGGATCACCTCAGCAAGGAGGCTTTGCTCCGGGTTCCACCCCTGCCCGGAGCACAGCAGGGCCCAGGAGCCCCAAGGCGGGCCTCAAGTGCGCCCCGACCCACACACCCCCTCTGCCAGGAAGAGGCTCCAGCCCCTTCGTGTCAATTGGCAGAGGCACTACCAACAAAGAGATCAATAGTCCTTTTCTGAAATGCACAAAACATGCTTTGAATCTAGGACAAAATACATACCACACACATCGTCTAATAATAAACAGTTTCTAAAGGTTTTTTTTCCTGATTACCGGTTTATTTACTTAACTGGAAGATCAGGTTGAAAATTAGTGCTATTTTTTCCAAGTTCTAGTTCTTATGCAGTTGACATATACTTTCAATTATAGCAAACTTTAAACTTAAATGAATATATTTTTCTGTCATTCATTATATAATGCCGAGACTATTTAAGATTTAAACTTTTGAGCTTTTTCTTTAATTTCTGTGAGATAGCCTCTTTTTTTTTTTTTGAAGATTTATTTATTCATACAGAGCTGGGGTACAGGCCAGAGATGCAGAGGGTGAGAGGATTCACCAGGAACAGAGTAGGGAGCAGAACAGGCAGATGGATGAAGTACACTGCTGAGGGGAGCAGCGGGCGGGTCAGGAGAGGTCTGCCACGCCATGTGGTCAACTCCGGGGCAGGCGGGAATCGAACTCACGCGGAAATGGCTTTAGCTTCTTAGTGCAGTGCTTTAACCCGCTGCGCCACCAGGGAGGGCCGAGATAGCCTCTTTTTAAAAAATATTCCATGATAGATTTTAATTTCAAATTTCAAAATTTTTGAAATTAATTTTGGTAGTGAACGTGATTCTCTGACATTGCCATACTCAGACAACACAAAATGAAGGCCAGCCGCCCACTCTGTAGTTCATCTCGTTCATAAACTCTGATCGCACAGGCACATCCCAAACACCAAAGCTACGAATGATTATCAGGTGTTAACAGCACTTGTCATTAATACCCTACTTTGCCCTGTTCTTAAATGCCACTGCTGCTTATCCCCTTCAAAGTAAAGTTTTTTATAAAGTTTTACATTGCAACTAAAAATGTTCTCACTACCTGGAATTGATTATAGAACAGTCTACAGCAACTTAAGAGACCTTGCTGCATGTAATGATTTAATATTTCCCTAATAGTCAATTCCAATTGTTGCAGAAAAATCTATTTCTTGTCTCATCTCTTTAAGACGAAAGCCATCTCCATGGTATACAACTACTCGTAAAAGGTGTATCAGAACAAACGTGTGAATTTTAACTTTGAAAAATACACACTTCTGGGACACTGCATTATGACGTATGGTGCTGAAGGGGCTCTTACAAGTCTCTGTGCTGACTAGGCCACATATACTTAGGAGGCGAACAGGTCATGTTTTCCTGAAAGAATCCCTCAGACGGTCCAAACCCCAAGGCACTTCCAAAGTAACACCCACAAATGCAGACTGGTAGCTGTGTCCATTTTATGAACCGTAGGAAAAATACACTAGCTGTAAGGATCGTGACTCCATTAGTTAATTTTGAATACAATTTTGCAATACTGGCATGGTTTTGAAATGCTAGAATACGTGAGGTTTTTTAAGTCTTACCATTTTTTTTGGGGGGGGGAGGAATTACTTGCAGCAAATAACCAAATTTTCTCAATTGGTAAAAATTATGCCTTGCATAAAAATAAAAGGATTAGAGGCCTCTGTTCTTCTTGAAAACCACCCGTCACCCCCGCTCTTTCTTTGAGAAAACCTACACAATACACATTTTGAAAGCTTTCAGAACGTGTTCTTACACAATAGACCCCCAACTAGTCAAAATGAGTTTAGGTGTATCAAGAAAATTATACACGCTTTTAAAATGGTCTAAATAGATATTAAAGGAAAGTTGCTCCCATTTTGCTAGGCACAGCATTCTGAAAGATCACACGGTGAGAAAAGTCTCTTACCATATTGTAAACCATAAATTGTGTTTGAAAATAAAATTGTTAATGAAGAAACTGACATTTCTAAAGCTGCTGTTAGAGGTAACCATTCTTGAAACACGTTTATGTCACAAAATCTTAAAGCTCTGAAACACAGAATTCATTGAATTATATATTTTTTAAAAAATTTAAATGTTATAAAAGTGCCTTCCCCTTCAAGTTATTTTAAACCTACATATACAAATATATACACTTTATATGTCCGTGGCTTTTTTGGGCTAGAATCAATAACATTTTGTTATCTCAGGCAACATTTTCTCATTTATGAATATTAGATAGTAAAATACCTAACCTAGCCTTATACTTTAGAGGGAATGATTCACAATGGGGAAACAAACGGCATTTTAAAAAAGTGATTCGCTTCATAGGAATGAACAGTTAGAATTTGATTTTTATCTTTCTTGTATTGAAAAGTTTGGATTCTTCTTAAATTAGTGATGGGGTCTATTCCGTAATTAGCAAAAACACTAGTATATAGTTTCACAGAAAACCATCAGCATAAAGACCGTGTATTAAATCGTAGGTATAAATCTACTTTCCATGATTACAGTCGAGCTAAAGTCACCGACAGACCGCACCACCTCTGCCGTTCCCTCAGCAAAGACCAGGCAGCGAGCGCGCAGGCAGTGGAGGGGCGAGACTGGGACTCTGCTTGGAGTGAGTGGGTCTCGGCTTCACTGCAGTCAGCGCCTGGGCTGACAATGCCAGTTCCCTAACTGAAGGGCTCTTTTTTTTAGGAAGAATGATTACTCTATCTTTAAAATGTTCCTTAATTTCACTGCCACTCACTGTCACAGCTGCTGCTGCCAGCCTCTGGCTGGGCTATGCCTCCACGTCCTGCTCCGGGCGCCTCCTCACTGCCTAGTAAGGAAAGGAACAAGACAGGGATGGGGAGACAGCGGGGGAGGGGGCTGCCTGCCACGCCTTCAGCTCCTGACTGCCGTGATACCCCTCTTCCGGGAGCCCAGGATTCCTGACATGCACTCAGCGAAACCTGTGAATGTTCTCTCCAGGCTGCACGGTGGAGAAGGTGCTCGTGAACACGAAGCTGCGTCCCGCTCAAAGTCCAGCTTCTGCGCTCCACGCACAGAACGCACAGGGGCCGCGTCAAGGGAAGCCCAACACCTCGCCGGCTAACTCAGCAGGGCGTTCACACTCTAGGACACTTCACCAAAAATAAGCCTTTTCTACGAGAAATCAACGAACATTTCCGGACCTACCAAATAACAAGGAGCAGACACACTGACAGGAGAGACCCAGAGAGAAGGCGCGTGGCCTCACAGCCCGCCGCAGCACCGCCAGCCTTCTCTCAGAACCATGCGCCGGTCCTGTTCGGGACCACCCCTGGGTGCACCCACACCCAGTCTGGTCATTCACTAGCCAAAGTCCAAGCGAGCGCCACCCCCTGCGTGCTGACCTCGCTGTGTCCCCTCTGAAACCCCAAGCTGGACGTGTCCTCAGCACCCAAACAATGACTTTACAGCCTGCTTTTCCCTTCAAAAGCTCCCAAAAAGTAGTGGTTCCAGCGTTAAGCACCTTGCTTCCCAACTGCCTGAGAGTAAAGATAAATTTATGGGGAACCCTAAGTGGTCAGGGCAAGAGGACCCTGGCAGCGGTGGTGGCCCAGGGCTGGCCCGAGCCCTGCGCCCCGCAGCGGCCCCACCACGTGGCCCACATGTGCGGCGGAGACCTGGCCCTCAAGTCCCTTGGCGGCCAAGCCGTCGCTCCGCCGTGCCACTGCTCCGGGGGGCGGGTCCCCATCTGCAGAGTGGGCAGCGCTGCGGCCCGCTCTGCGACTCCTGCACCCAGGCAAGAACAACGTGCGTGTGCAGCCAGGTGCACACCACACAGGAGAGCACCCCCTGATGTGCTGTGGCCACACTGCAGGGTGGCGACCCAGAGCCAGCCCCTCGCTGGTGGGAAGAAAGGAATCTGTTTCGTCACGAGCAAAGCTGAGCAACAAGACTGCTGGACTTACGAGTCTGCGCGGCGGCCTCTGTCTGCGCATCTGAGCACTCCATGTCTTCAACACTGCACTCGGTGTCCTCCACCTCTTTCTTTCGCTTTTTGCACATAAAAATTTTAAAGAGAAACAGAGATGTGATTTGAGGGTCAAATAAGTAAATGTACAAACATGACAGCCAGTGACATATGTATGAACTGAAGTACAACACGCAGCAAGAACACTCTCAACTTTGGGGTGGCAGTTGCCGAGGGCGGGGAAACGGATGCGGGGTCCTCTGTGCAGTGCGTCTGCTGATGGGGGGTGCTGAGCCCCTTGCGTCATCACTGACAGCCAAGCTTGACTCATGAGGACTGATGATACAGAGACTCCCTTAAAGCAGAGTACACAATAGCTATCACCCTCACTCAGACCCAGGCTACCTCTTCTCCCCATTTCACAATGTTGGGGGGCAGGGATCGACTTGACAAAATAGGAAAATAGATGACTGACCCATATGTTGTGGTTGCACTTGGAAGACTGGTGATAAAATTCTATTTATGGATCAATAATGGCAAACTACTAACACACGTCTTCTTTCGGTGTGTTTTTTATGAAAATTTAACACGGTCATACACAGCACTGCAAGTTAGAACTTACAAGTACGTGGCTTTCTAGAATCTCAACCCCCGCTGGGCTTGCCAGCCTTCTCGGAGGACGCTCCCCCTTTCACGCAGGTGGGAGTCAGCCCGGCGCTCACCCCCCACCCCTCCACTCTTCCCAGATGCTCGTTCGCGTTCTCTGCATGACTGTCCGTCGGGTCAATCCCACGTAAAGGTCACACTGCACACCACTGCTACATGCGGGCGAAGCCGCAGCAGACACAGCCATTGCTAGGAGGTGGTGTTTATGGTGTTTCCGTATCACTTTATCTCAAACAGTCTCAACCACAGATGTGCCAAAATCCAGAAGCCCGGCCTCTCCAGCTTGCCTAAGCTAAGCTGTACCATTCAGGAAACTGTCTGATGCTTCCCAGACTCCAGAGACGGGAGTAACCACATCCGTCTTAGATGCAGCCAAACGTGCAAGGACGTGGCCCAGTGGCGGCCGTGAGAGCACCATCTCTACCAGCAGCACAGTGTCCTTTCCCAGTTCCGGAGAACACTTGGGAAGGTTCTAGTCAAATCCCGTACCTCAGAGCCTCCACGTGGTCACAAGTCTAAGTATCTGTGCGCTACAATCAATTCCCCTGTTTCAAAACAGCCTTAAGGTGGCTGGGATGAGATGAGGATTCAGAGACCCATCATGTTCCTAAAGAGACTCCTTCACATGCACAAAGACAACACCCTGACTAACCTTAGGAAGCTTTCAAAGACACTCACAACAGACCTGCGGAGGGCTGCTGCCGGACGAGAGCCTGTAACTTCGCGTAACTGATGAGGGCGGGGAGAGTGCCTTACAGCTTTCTTTCCCAAAGTGTTGCTTCATGATTACCATCTAAACCCTGCTGGGCTGAACAGATTGGTTCGATAATTACATACAATAACTGCAGTGGGCAGGTAACCCTCAGCTGGCACGGGGCAGCTCCCCTGTGAGAACGTCCATATGCAAACGGCACTGATGGAGTGCATTAGGTACATCTTTCCTGCCGGTGCACAGGCCTGATTAGCGCCAGCCAGGACTCCAAGGTTAGCGTGTCAGCAGATTTGTGATGCATTAGGCGGGAATAAACACGGACACTTTTGTTCGTTCGGACCAAAATTAAGGAGGAATATTTCAGAACTATATTGCTTTCCCATACAGGAGCGAAAGCATTTCCCAGCTTCAGGAGGGCAGGTTTTTAAATGCTCATTATAAAGAGAGCTATCCAATACTTTCTACCCTAGAACCTAGTACATTCATCTTGTTTTCAAGCTTACTTAATAAAAGGGAGCTTCCTTAATCTCCAGGCAAGTAAATTACACAGGAATGAAAACCAGACAGTATTCGCCAACAAAAGGAACACCTGTGTCCTAAGCAGCACGCAGCAGGCGAGGCACCGCGTTTCATGAATCGGCACTTCAGCTGGTGTCTCCGGCCCGACTCCCCGGCAGTGTGTAGGAGCCTGGAGAAGACAGGCCAGTGGACCCTGACCTGCGCCCAGTTTAAAAAAATAAAACAAAACCCTCCAAGTTTAACAGCTCCAAATAAGTATGTTACTCATTTTCTAAGGCAACGAGTAGGACTTCAAACCTTCTGTCACCAGCTTTGCTGCTGAATACCTGCAGACACTTTATCTGGTTAGTGGTCAAGATCCAAGCCTTTGCATGGTGTGTGGTGTGTACTGGGGTTCCCTGAAAGCCGGCCCCATGGACACTGTGCCGATCGCTGGCCCTGTCACATTGCACATCAGCACTCATGGGACTTTCATTTGCATTTATAAATGAAAGCAAAATACCACAGGACACACAGAATAATTTATAAAATAAACTTAGAATTGAGCTTTATTTTAGTTCAGCATGGCCAAAAGATGCGCCAACAATCGGGTTCTGTCAAAGGGCGCACGGAACACGCTGCATCATGGAAGTACTCAGAGACACCAGGCTGAACTTGACAACCGGCACTCTCACTTCCAGTTCATAAACAGGGAGATAAATCTGCTAGACCCCCCGGGACTGATGACGCACCAACAGTCCAAACCCTGACTGGAGCCCAGTACAGACGCACATCTGTCCCAGCGGGTGAGCCTGCAGGTGGCACTGCCATGGGGGGAGGGGGCCGGCCGGCCTCCCAGCCCCTGGTGAATCTTTATGCTTCTCCCTTGAGTTGCCTCACAGTCTCTCTCTAAGTCACTCACCCTCTCCCAGCTGCCCTCTGTCTGTGAGACTATCCTTAGCCTCCAGGCTCAGGTGTGCCCACGCAGGCGTGCCCACACCTACACCCTAGGCACCTTTCGCACCACGCAACAAGGCAACAGGTGATAGCCCCAGAGCTAGTGGTACGAAAAGCCTGGCCAATCCATTTCCCTATAGCTGTTTTAATGGAAAAGAAAGAAAAACCTTCAGAAAAACCTAAAGACTGATTCTTTGCCTCCCCAGTGAAGCATTAGTGACCACCACTAGCCTCTTTTGGCAGCCTCCTAAGACTGCCCGTCAGATCCCGGCCGTACCAGAGACGGTGACTGCCAGTGACCAGTGTGGGTTTCTCCCCTTTATTACAAAAGTCACAAATATTCATGATGGAAACTTAAGATGGTGCCACCAATCTTTAAACATTTGACACTGCATGTGTCAAAGAACTCTAAATGCAAGTACATCACCGCACTAATCATCACTTGGTCCTATTTTATTTACTTGATTAAGGCCACCTGAAATCAACATTCAAATGGATACAGCTTCAAATTACTATTATGTCCTTTTTTAGTTACTCAAAAAAAGATAGGCCATATCTCCTACAAAGGTAAAACAAATGTTTTATTTACTACAACACTCATGAAACAAACAGACTTAGCTATCTTCACTCTACACGTACACACTACTGGAAGGAGGACTCCAAATTGGCTGGTGCTGCTGGCAACACTAGAATTCAGAAGACGGTATTCTTTCCACAGAACTAGCCGCCTCCCATTGTGAGCTCTGGCGTGAGAGCAGGCACTGGGCCTCGGCCTCACCGGGCTCACCATCGTGCTTTCCCAAATACCACTTGGTCTACAGTGGTTGTTGAGCAGCCACCTGGCAGCTGCAAGAACAGGAGATGATGTCTCCCTTTACCCAAGCCCCTCAAAACCACACATTTCGATGCATCTAAATAAACCAAAGAAATTTTCGAGATAAAGTAGGAAAAGTCAGGCATCATTAGAAGATGGGGTGTGAGCTGAGGCATGAGTGACTTAAAAGGAGTCTGAACAGGAAGAATAATCTAAAAATATTCTCTGGCATGCATGAAAGCACTTTATTTTCAAACAGTTTCAGCGATAAAGGCTGACCTAACTCCAAACACGGTACTTCCGTCCATGGAACACCACCGAGTACCTGCCACTGGTGAAGGCCACCACGTGTTCAGCAAACACCATGGGCCTGGCGCGAGACAGGCTCAGGTTGGATGGGGCTGGGGGACAAGACACTCAAATAGAGTAAAGCACAGGAGGAACTTTAGCTTTTATAAAAACATGAAGCACGCACAAGTCAAATCTCTAACCCTTAAGCCCTAAGACACCATTTCCGGTCCGTAACCAAGTCCTCCTCGATCTAGGTCCCGTGCATGCCACACACATAACTTCACGCTGGGTGTCAATCCATGTGTCATGGAACCCAAGAGTGATTTCACTGTTTTGTCTTCTGTTGCTACTGTTGTTTGTTTGCTTAAATTTAGCTCTCTCCTGTAAACACTTGCAGTTATCTACAGTAGGAAGAGAAAGGTCAAGTCAGCAGGTCCGAGAGAAAGCATTAAGCAAAATAACATAACCGGTACAAAGCTCAGAATGCATCTGGCCTTCAACAGCCCAGCTAACGTCTCTTTCAACACCAGGAGGAAGAACTGACCTAAGTATTGAAAATGGGGAGAGAAAGACACTGGTGTGCTGTTAATTTAACACTTGAACCACCAGGGTTCTTGTTCCATAAAGCCATGAAAAGGAATTTGCAGACTTTTTAGGTAAGTAAGCAGAGAGAAACAAACTTTGTTTAAGAAAGTAAAGTTTATTTAGAAGAAGAAAGGACGGGCTCCCAGGCACACTGCTAGGAGGGGCAGGGAAGCTGTGTGGGCCTTGTCTCAGGCTCTTAGACCTTTTCCTCTTTTACCTTAGTTTACCTCCTAGTCCAAGGTCTTTTACTCTCAAGCTTGACTGTTTCTGTTTAGTCCTCCAGGGCTTTCTGACCTATCTCTGGAGTATGTTTCAGTTATCACCTCTTAGAATTCACTGTCTTTATCTCAGAGGCCTCTTGAACTCCCCCAAGTCCCAGCATGAAGCTGCCTAGCTAACCCTACCTTGCCCTGGGACTCACAGAGAGATGTAGACTGCTCCTTGCTCCACAGCTGATGTACTTTTTCTAGCAAAAGCACTGCTGTCCCGAAGCAGATCTAACGTGCTGCCGTAGGGCCCCACACAGCCCCCTTAGAAGAAACACGAGTAAACGAGCTCAA